GCATTAATAGCAAAAAAAAAAAAAAAAATGAAAACCTCTAAAACAAGGGAAAACAATCTTTCCCATTATCACTGCTAAGTAATATCTTTTTAAGCTCTTTTTTTGGCCTATGAAAGGATTTATCATGATCAATGTATCACACAATAAATATAATAAAAAGCATGAGCAAATGTCTCTAAGATCTTCAAAGTCTTTCTTTTTAACTATGCTGATAGTTAGTTATAGACTAATTTCTTATCTACAGAAGGTTCCATTGGGCACTAAAAAAAAGGAAGAATTAGACGACATAATTTTGTATCATGTGATTTCTGAATTTTTTTTCTTTTTAATGACTGTAAGATGGTGTTAGAGAGCATGAGACGACTCAGAGAACATTTTGGAACAGTCTTGGAAGTACAGGTACATGTTTTATATAAGAACAATAAGTTATAAACTCTTTCCACAATCAGAACTTAACAAAAACAGTAATTTCAAAGCTAAAGTATATAGTCTGGTCAGATAAGATCAAGTCTCACCCTGTAAATTTTATTTCTTACATGGTTAACTTAGCCATTCACTAATTAAAATACATTTTTTTAATTTTTACTTAAGTGCAGACCCAAACCCATGTCAGTAACCCCATTAGAAATATGCTCTCTGAGAAATGCGGTGACATGTTCAATACTTATTATAACCACTGAGTATAAAATGTTCACATTGCTAAAACAAGCACATAATGTTTAGGTAAAGATGTGAAATGATTACACACTGTCCTCACGGTTTTTATGCAGAGAGACTCAAACTGTTGCGTGACAACGAACTTGACACTTAAAACACCACAATATTATATAAAGATCATTCCTAGAGGAAATGTCTGCACTGTGTAAACCACTCTACATCAAAAGTTGTATTGCTTACTTTTACAGTCTCTAAAAAATTAGGAATGGCTTGTGTCACAGGAAGTATGAAACTATCATTTTCCTTCTAATTCTTTTTCAGTGAGGAATGAATAAAAGTTCAAAGACGGGGGGGAAGAATTGCATTGCCTCCGCAATCCCATGACTTGGACATTTTCTCTACATGCGGAATGCCGAGGCAGTGGAGAGAGATTGAAGGAGTTCTAGATCCAAAACAGAGTGTGGAAAAAAAAGGGACTTTTCAAGCTGTTCGACAATGCACACATTATGTTAATTTTGCAAAAATACTCTATTCCTCTTTTGCTTTATAGCTTTCCAAATCGGATTTTTTAACCTTATTTATTTAACAGAAGAAATTATTAACAATGTGCAAACCTCCTTGTTTTTTATTCTATTTTTGTAACATTACATAGCATCCGAAACGGTTACAAGAATCTTGAATATTATAAACACGGCCGAAGTTCTTAAACTGAACCTCTGTGACAGGCTTTTTCAATGCTTTATATGTATTTCTTTACTTTAGCGGGAACGGCTTCTTCTTTAAAAAAAAAAAAAAGCCAAGTTTTTACTCCACATGTGCTCATTATCTGCAGATCCTAGTAAGGAATAAGCAGAAAGGTTTCAATTTTTGGATGATCCAGATTTGCAATTTAAAAATATTTGGAATATATTTGGTTGGCTGTAAATAATTCATAGTGAATGATAATCTTTAAAAGGTGTGGCCTTAAATTTACTGTCACGCTAAGATAATGAATCTCAGATAAAAGATTAGAGCTAGCATACTGGTGATGTTCTTTATTTTGTATGTATATTTGTGATGTTTATAGAAGTGACCATATATTTTATGTTGTAAATAGTGGTAAAGTTCAGGGACACTGTTCAAAATGCTTCTAAGGATAAAATCCAAACGATATAAAAAAAAACATTTAAATGAAAACCAGTCATACCATATCAAATGTCCCCTTTAATTTTTTCTAGAATTCAAAGATCACTAACCTGTGGATCAGTGGGTGGCAGGATCTTTAAGATTTTGTATTGGTGCTGAAGAGAAAATTTCAACCTTTTTAAAATACTGTTAAAAGAAATGTTCTAAATTCAGTCTCCCTTGATTGATTTGTTTTCAATGGGCCAAAGGAATTTTGCAGGGATGCTGTGTCTGAACTGCAATCAGCTGGGCTGTATACATGAATGCTTATAACAAGAAAACGGGGTTTTAGAATGCCAACGTTTCCTTTTCTCCTCCTAACATCATTTTTCCCGAAGGGTCGTTCACAATTTGCAGCCTTTTTGCAAGTGTACAGATCATAATCTTTGTGCTTCACATTCACAATATCAAGCATCCAGATTGCAACACATGCCTAGAAACCACTTTTTTCTTAATGCACAATCTTTTCTAAAGCAACTCTCAATATTAGCTTGAGTTATTTTTTTTAAAGTTATGTGTTTTTTTTAAATGATCAAGATAACATGGAACTACTATTACTTTGCTGACTCAGATTGGGACCTTTTGCAGCATGCAGGGGATAACGCAGGGATACATATTCTGAAAGTTAGCCGGTGGCAATAGCCCTGGGCTCTGTGGGGGGAGGGGAGAGAGAAGCAGGGCAAGTTAAGGATCAAAAACACGGCATGGTAGGAGAGAATAGAATTTTGAGTGAGGAGAAAAAAGTATCTACAGTATAAACAGTGCAGGCAGCCGCTCTCCCCTCTTCCTGGTGTCTTGTTGTGCAGGAGTGAGAGGTATGTGATCTGCTACAATAAAATAAAGAAGTTAATAAGATCCTAAGCTTCTTGCAAATTAACTTTAGGAGGTTCCTAACCATGCGTTTTTCTTCCAGGCTGTGCTTTCTATGGTGTTTAGTCTTGAACCAGTCCATAGCACTAGCTTCCCAACAATGTCTGGTTACTTCATATTAATGGTTCGAAGATAACACTAAAATTAAACTAAACAAATACAGACAAAGACATTTTGTCAGAGCAGATATGTTCCTTTTGGAGAAGCAGGTTTCTTTTTTAAGGAACTGTAAGGACCATTGATTGTTGCCGAACCCCAGCTATGACTGCCTTCTTTGGCGACAGCCGACAGATCTTCATCAGCCTTCAAAGTGGGTATGGAGCTCTGTAGTGCACTTTATGGAATGTAATTAGTGCACTTTGAAGCAGTTTCAGCTCAGTGATTGAGCTACGACACCCATGAGGTTCGCTGATAGGTGGCTTTTCTTGACACTTACTCAAGAGCAAACAAGAAATAAAATTGCCATCACACTTTTCTGTATTTTTTTATATATCGCTTAGCACTAATTCATCTGGAATTATAGTACTGTATAGGAACATTTTCACGCTCTTCATAATTAAAACACATTTGTTCCCAAACAATTTTACTTTCTTAAAATGTTTATCACAAAACCCTTCTGGTCATCCCGTGACTCTTCATCTCAACAGATTTTGTAATTTCAAACAGTTTATTATCAACTTTAATTTGGAGCAATATCAGGTTTCCTCTTAGGACGGAAGTCCATAATGGAGGGCAATGTTAACTCTCACATGCACATTCCTTAGTAATGTTGATTTGTATGTTGAAATCACCATAGTTTATTTGGTCTTCTATGCTCCTTCCAGAACTGCCAGTCAGGACCTAAACCCGTCTGCTGAATTTTCTTTCATTTACTTGCGATGTAATGATGGTTTACAGAAATACAGTTTTAGGTTTCACTCCTCCTGCTTTGATTTCTGACCACTGGCTGGTTTTCCCCTCTAACATTGCACAGAATTCATTTCCGAAACGCTCCAACCTCTTTACCCTCATCTGATGAAAGCACAGCAGATATGAGACAGAGCAGGAAGTAAGATTTTTTCCCCCTCAGTAGCAGTGTTGACAACAGTCAAATGTGACCTCTTCAAGACAAGGTACATGTTCCTTAGGGGAGAGAGAGACGAATTAAGAACTGTGGTGAAAGGAAACGTGTCAGACATGTGTCAGCCACCTACCTTACCTTGATGTGTTCTTCCCTTAGCACCCAAACTCCACTGGTTGTTTCCAACATTGAACTTCAGTGGAAAAAAAATCCCAAGTGTTTTAAACAGCTGTACGACAGGCACATATTTATGCCAGGCTTATCTAAGATGATAAATGCTTTGTGAGGCTTTTGTTTTTCCATGTGTAAGAACACATCCTTTTCTATTTTCATTTTATCGCCATATGATGAAATCCACTATAAGCAGGCTCCTAATTGAGCTGTCTGTTCAGTCCCTCTCTGAAATCAAGTCTCTAAAAGCAGGGGATATCATCTCTAATCTACAGTGAGCTTGATATGTATCCTCCGACTCAGCTTTTGGTCTTTTAAGATAAAGATTGTGTTTCATTGATGACCTAAAAATAAAAGCCGGTACATTTCTGATGTTTTAACCTCTCCAAATATATTCAGAGCAAAATCCGATAAGAGGCTTGGCTCTTCTTTCATACGCAGATTAATTAGTGCGTAAATTTCATACTGTAAAATTAAAAGTCCACAAAAACCTTGTATTTCATGATATTATCAACATTGGTGGCATAATATCCAGATTATAGTGTTCTAAAATGCAGATTGTGCTAGCAATGGAAATATTAGAAACTCCAACATTGACATCTACTCTAGACATGAAAAAATAGTGTTTATTTATTTTTACATTTAATTTGCAGCAACATAAAATGGTAAACTCAATAGATTGTGGGGCTCTGTATCGCCATCACGTTTAAAAAGCAGGTCAGTTTCAAGAAGCAAATAACTTTATTTTGGAATATTTTATTTTTTTCATATCTCTCTATCTGCTTTTATATTAACGGGTAAAAGCAGCTAAAATATTATTTTTGTATTTTTCCAAAATAAAAATACAATTGTACTCTACAATTTTAATACTGGGAAAATATGTTCTATCTTTCTTTAAATAAACAATAAAAAGCTACAGGTTGTTCTACATTTATCATCATATGAACCATATAGGTCTCCTTTCTTATATCGTGGGGTTGTGCCACAGTATATAACTTTTGATACTAAAGATAGAAAGTTTTCCCTTTGTGATTCCAACATTAGGAGCCATTCTTTTGTTATTTTTTTTTTCTTACAGACTTAAAAGAAGAAAAAGTGGTGAAGTCTAAGGTAGTTTTCCGGAGCCCAACTTTGGCCAGTCAGAACCAAGAGACAGAACTGGTCCTCGATGGAGAAGATGACAATGTCAGCCTGCTCCAGGAGAAGGAGGTGGACAACGTTGGTGGTACAACAACCTTTCAGATACGCACCCTTTCAATAATACAACTCTGTTTTCATCAGTCTTTACATCCATGGATTGCATGGTTGACATCATTTTTAAACATTGGCTGATAATTTTCAAAGTCATTGACAGTTTTAATAAAACCATTTTTTAGATATATATCTACAGGTGCATCTCAATAAATCAGAATATTATTGAAAACTGTGCATATCAGCAACTCATCTAAGTGGAAAACAGGAACACACAGTATTATCTTTGCTAGCCTTTTGTTTAAAAACAATGATTCCAACCATAAAAATAACATTAGACAGTTAATTTCTATGTGGATTAAATTATTACATCAAACCAATAAATAAGGATTTAAATACAGAAATGTGGACTTAATTTAAAAAATAATTAATTTCTGCTTAATTATAATTTTTTAAGGTTTTTCATTTGAAATTGAGTCTCATTGGAATATAAAAATAGCGATTATTGTTATTTAAGTGAGACAGAACTTTTTTCAGGTTCGCTTTTATATTTATTGTCAAAAATTATTATTGAAATAGCTGTGGAATATGTATGTAACCCTCTGGGAATTCAGGAATTAAGTGCTTCTTTTAAACTAATTTGCAAAATATCCTGAGTTAGCAAGATTTTCTTTGTTACATTAGGCAGTAATTTGTGCAATTATCTGCTTGATTCTTGTTACCTTAAAGATTAACTGAAGCAAAAGTTAGATTTATTTTTTTAAATGAATGTGAAATTAGTTAAATTGTGTAGATTTTACATTATTCATTGTAATTAAATAAAATGTGTTGTCAAGAGAGTTTGCTAAAGTAGCCCTAGATAACAGAGGCTTGTCCACCTATACCACGGTTCAGCGGATTCAGAGACATGTGTGACTTTATGTCAAGAAGTTCACAATATTTATGCTATATCCATATAGCATTTCTACCACAGACCACAAAAGAATAAACAATATCCTTTACTCCATTCAGCTATGTTTATTTCCTTACTCACCTATAATTGTGTTTTTGGAAAATATTTAGATGAACTCAACTTTTTCCACTCAAGAAAATCTAAGTTCTAGTATATTGTCATTTTTAGTGTCAAGTGCCGTTTGCAGCAGAAATGTATCTAATTGGAAGGAGAGTGAAAGTGGCTCTTCCTTTTGTACAGGTTGCTGACCCTTGACCTTAACGTAAACAAGACAAAGCATGTTCTGTTTTCCCATGATTAAGATAAATAGTTCCTAAAGGTTTTTTAATTTTCATTCCCTCTTCTAATTTATAGTCAATTCCTCTTCTGCTGCCAGCACTAGATGTTTTAGTTTTCATCTATTTTAGTTGCAGTAGATGTTCGGCCCAATACTGTAGATATACATGTTTTACAGATGCAAAATTAATAACAAATGTTAATATACTTATGTGGACTCCAGTTTTACATTGCATGAAAAATATTATTTATTAGGAAGGAAGAAGACTTTGATCATTGGAAATGTCTGTTTGGAAGCAATGTAGCGCTGATATTTTAGCGTGTGAAGCTTAAACTGAAGCAGGGCGCTTCTGAGCAGTGAAATCCCTTTAGATCACACAGATGAGACTAACCCCTCCTTTCTGACCCAGGGCCAGCAGGCAGCCAAACGCTCCATGTCTGTCAGATGAACCCCTCATTGGCCAATCTAAAGCACATAGCAGAGACTACTACACAAAGAGGAGGTTTCTCCTGGGAAAAACTACATATGGGTCTGTGAAAGAAGAACTGCTGAGTTTAATGTCTGTAATACGTTAATGACGTGTACGAAAACAAACGGGAAATAAGAGCTAAGATTTTTTATTTTTTTTATATTTAGTGCATATTGAGGTTTTGCTCTTATCACCAGCGGGGCTTCGGTATGCTTTAATAGTCAGATTATACTTTTCAGATGAATGATCTGCGTTTGTGCTGCAAATAATCCCAGGCATAAACAGGCTTAATGAGAGATCTGGGACTAGATCTTTGTCAACAACAGTCCTCCTACAGCCAGGCGCTGGGTCAGTGCCTGCTGCTGCTGCCAAAGGGGCGGCGCTTGCACTCATGAGCTCAAAGCAGTTGTGGTTACTCAACCTATGATTAGCTTTTCTCCCCCACAAATACCGAAAAATGCTGTCTGTGCTTAAAGATGCATTTAATGAAATTATTTTAAATCCACGCATTTATCTGGAACTAAATAAAACAGAACTGTTTGTGATAAAAGAAAGAGTACCGGTTGGAGCATTTCTCATGTCAAGAGAGGCTCTTCAGATTTGACTGTTTTGCCAGCATACCGGAAGCTTGTTAGCACACCACAAAGTGAGGCTTAGCCAACTCAACCGTTTTTGTTTTGTTTGTTTTTTTGTTTTTATTTAGCCTTTTATGTATGTGGTTTCGGACCTTATTTAAAATTAAGATCGCTCAAGTGCGAACATGTTTATAAGAGAGTAAGGTTAACCAGAATGCATTAACTCCTTATATGTAAAAGACAACTACGCGGATAATTTTGCTTATTTTCTGATCGTGTTACTGCAAACCTTAAAATACAGAAATGATAAGAGTACTTATTGTGGCTTATCAACCCAACTTACTTACATATACATAGTAATAAAAAATTGCATTGCCTTCCATAGATTGTAAGAATATACTCCTTTCTGTAAGCAATTCTCTTAAATAAACCGCTCAGTAGAATTCATTTTATTATATATTTTTTTAGGCCTATTTGGATTTTCCTTTGAAACTAGAACCCTCCTAATGCGAGCTTTACCCTATACAGATCTGTCATAAGGTGTAACTTACCCCTAATTTTATTATTCTTATGTAAACATTTTATGTTACAGCCTAATTATGGACAGATCCCCGAGGGGATTACTGCATAATCCTCTTGTGCTGATGAGCAATAGATACTTAATGCTTCAGGCTGCAGTGTGTTTCACTTGATGTAGCTCTTTTGGGACAGATAACAGTGCTTTACCAAGGAGTAATATTTCTTATTTTCATTGTACTTTGGGGACTTTGATGACAGTAAATACCTCAACTTTTATCGTTGTTAATTCAACCAAACAAAAGAAGAAAATAAAAATAAAATCAAGGAATTAAATAGAGAAAAGGTACAATTAAGTACTTTAAGGTTGATAATTGTGCTTAATCTTATGTAAATAATGCCTCTAATGCAGTTAAGAGGTTGTTGGTTAATATGAGTATTATTTGCATGAGCAGATAGGATCACTGTTAATAGAGCTGAGAAGGAAAAACTGGGGTGGATAGTTTAACTGCAGCCTGGAAGAGCGATGAAGGGACGCTCTGGGAGCTCCAACCGATATCCACTTGTATTCCTGTAACACTATCGCCTATAATTGGCCGAGGAACGCAGATTAAGATTGACGAGACATTAAAGTGGCTCTTTAGAGTTTAAAGAATCGATAAATATCCTGATTTTTCGAGGGCTTTCGCTCTAGAGTAGACAAATCACTGTAACGGTGCTCTGCAGAGACACTGATCTGACAGCATGGAGGAGGCTGAAAAGCAAGAGGGAGGACTGAAATAATAAAAAAGCCATCATTATCAGTCCACCATAGACGGAATCCGCCCTAACAGGCAATCAGTGTTTGGTTTCATTTTTTATTTGCGTATTTTCTTTCTCACTGAATTACTTAAATTAATCCTGAAAATTAACATCTTAATTCTTTTTTAAATTAATTTTAGACCATCGCTGCAAAAAAAAAAAAAAAAGGCGGTGGCGAAAGATTGAGAACTACCTCTATAATCAGAGTTATAATAATCTGTTTTTAAGGATTCTTTTAAAATTAACAGAACTTAAACGTTGACGCAATATTCATGTTTTTTGAGTGAAGTAGGGCTAATTCGCGCGGCTGTCGCGCCGTATTTAGCGCGAATTGCTGAAATAGTTAATTAAAAACAAAGGATAAAAAAATCCTATCCGATCCTATCTCTATATTTTTATTTATTTTATCGACCTTAGTTTTAGTAATTGACTTTATTTAGGAAAATTACCACAAAATGTTATGCCTGTTAGACCTATACTTTATAAATGGCAGTCTCCATGGTGACTAGGAGGGCTGAATCCCTTACAGTATTCTTATGGCATTAGATTTACTTTATAATTTGAAATTAAATATTCCAGTAACACAACCCTTCTATAATCTTCCCCCTTCCCCAGGCCCAGTGGTCCTGAGCAGCGCGGCCCAGCTTGTGGCCCCTGTTTTGGTCGCGCGCGGGACTCTGTCCATCACCACCTCCGAGATCTACTTTGAGGTGGACGAGGATGACCCTGCCTTCAAAAGAGTCGACCCAAAGGTATCTAACCTAGACTGGACAGGCATAAGTCTTTCTCAATTATTTTTTATTGCATTTTTTCTTATTTGCTGTTGAAAAATCTGAACGTATTCAATGTTATTATTTTATTTCTCTAGATTACCTTTCACCTCTATTTGTGAGCCTTTTCACATTGCATTTGAACTTGAATAGAATAGAATAGAATAGAATAGAATAGAATAGAATAGAATAGAATAGAATAGAATAGAATAGAATAACGGAATGTGCTGCAGGTTTGCATTTTAAAAATAATCTAAACGGATTTGCAAATTCTACTGTTTTATAAATACTTTTGTATTTTCAAATATTTTTACATCAATTATATAAATATATATATATATAAAAAAAACGTAGGCCTATACCATTGCATTACGCTTGCTTCAGGCCCTTTACACTGCCGTTCGACTTGCATTTTAAAAAAGTGGGGGACACAAGTATATAAAACAGCTCGTTTTATTAACTCTTTAAATTAGATCAAAGACAGAAATAATTATAATAAAAAGAAACAAATCACAGACGTATAATCCAGTGTATTTCAAGTGCATTTTTTTTTCGAATTAAACTGTAATATATATACTATATATACTATATATAGGCTATCATTTTCTTTCTCTTTTTTTTCTTTTTTAAATCACGTTGGCCTATAGTAACGATGGAGGGAAAAAACAACTCGAGTTCTTTAAAATAATCATTCAAGTAGACTGATGGAATGTTTTAGATGTAACAAATGTTTTACGCTTACCATCAAAAAATGTAAACTCTTTAAAAAATAGAAAATGTCCATTTAGACAGGTGAGTCAGACTACCACTGACGCAAGAATAAATTAAAAAAAGAAAAAAGTAGCAGATGCAGATAAAAAGTTCAGATTTAAACAGGTGGATCCTATTGTCACAGAACAACATTCACAATTCCAGACCACTTGATTCACAATCTATAAATGTATTTACAGTATAAGAAAATGTACAGATGGGATTTTTTTTTAATGATTTGTTTCTAAAGGGTTGAAGAAAATGTTGGATTTTGTCAGCCCTGTATAGTGTGAAGAAAATGAGTAAAAACTGCAGCCTTCAAGATTTGTGACAAAAATTGGAACTTGCTTCTGAAAAGTCAGTTATCACCTCCAAAGATGAATATGAATAATTACAAATGATACTGTTAGAAAAAAGGAGCATATTGAAGCGGCTAGGCCAAAACATTTTAACAACAGAGAAAGTCACATTTCACAACAACGGTTTGGCAAATTTTATGAGCTCATTAGACCTTTTAACACATTTTTAAAAATGAATTGTATCAACCTTTTTTTTCTTTCTTTCTTTTTTTTTTTTTTTTAGTGTTACCTCAGAGTTTCTCCAAGCTTTTGGGGTTGGTCAGTATTTCCCTTGCCAGTCGCCAAGTCTGTTTGGCAGCGTTCTCTAACGCAGAGTGCGGTTTTCCTTGAAACAGGTCTAAATTAGGCAGAAAATAATGCGGGCACCTCCTGCACTGCAAACACGAAATAAGCTGCAATAGTATCCCGTTCAGGCGGTCACCCAGACAGTTTTCATCCCAGTCCGACTCCCGGGGATGTTTCTCACACTCGTAGGAAACCAAAGTTTTCATGTGGTAGTTGTTCAGAGGCTGCCCAGGCAGCTCCAGGTGACGGTCCCGCAACGCTTTGAGAACCGACAGGCATTTCTTCCTACAGCCGCCCAGGAGAAGCCGGTTCTCGGCCTCGGCGAACTGCAACACCCAAGCATCGCTCTCTGCAGAGCTCTGCTTCCCGTTCAGGGAGTAGCACTCTTTGGATAGCAGATTGAAACCCTCCGCCTTGACTTCTGCAACTCGGTTGGGTCCCGGCCACGGTATGTGCGGGAGAGGCCAGTGCGCAGCGCTTCGCGGCCAGATGCCAGTGCATTTGAACGCAGGCGTGATTTGCACCACATATCTGTCTCTAATGCGCAGCTTTACCTCGCTGGTGTCAGCGACCATCTTCACCACATCTCTGTAGCTGCATTTATCCACAGCTTGGGCCACCAGCGTCTGGAATCTGGAGCGGATTTTACGCGCGGAGAGGTAGCCGGAAGCTGTGATGAACTCAACCCACAGAGACATGCTTCTCTTGCGGCCGTCGCTGAGCTTGAGGACGGCGCAGCCCGGCAGAGAGCCGTCATCCACGAAGTTAAATACTCCCATCTGATTCAGATAGAGGACGACCTCAAACTCGGTGGGAGAGATAACCTCCAGTCCCTCAAAGCGGTTATCCATCTCGCTGAGGGAGCTGATGAAGCGCGGCTCCTGCACCTCCACCTCCTTCAGTACATCCGACACCACCTTGCACACCTCCCGGATGGTCTTGGAGATGGCCGCCTTCCGAGACTGACATTTCTCGTTGTAGTATTTGTTGAGGTGATACACCAACTTTGCCTGGGCGGCTATCATGTTAGGGCAGAGATCCGGGTTATACACCGGAGTCTCGCAGTAAGCCGAGGGATCCAACGCGGCTGTTTGTACGGGAGCCAATTTTAGAGAAGAAGGAGAGCAATCTAAATAGAAAAAAGGGTCAGTTTATTATATGTGCTCAGAGCACATATGCATTAATTATTACAGTCACAGCAGCCGTGCTGTAAACTGCATTGAAGTGCTCAAAATAAGTTCTCAAAATGATCCGAATGACGTGATTTAAAGTCCAATAGCTGAAAAATCTCGGGTTTTTTTTTCTTTTTTCTCTCTGATTGCTGTGCCAGTTAGGAGTCCGCGTAATTGCGCAGAGTGCAATGTGCCCTCTCGACGCAGATGGCTGGCGTTGCTGTGTTTTACAACAGGCAGGGAGACTCACACACACTCATTATTTTAAGGGAGGAGTTGAGACCAGGATGTCCAATGGAGTTCCAGTGCGTCACCGCAGCTTATGGGAAACAAATTCATCCCCGGCTGTGATCCTATATACAAGTAAAAAGAAAAAAAAGAAGAAGGAAACACTTGGTGATTTTAAAGCGATGAGCGGTATTGCAACGTTTGGATTTATCTGCTGCGTCTTTTTTTCTAAAATTTTGGATTTTTAGGTTTTATTTTATTTAGCCAGTCAGCTGTTTCAGAAACAAAACAACAAAAGAGACAGTGGGTGTGTTTGGGTTGTTTGGGGAGTTTTATTTTTTTTATCCGATAGAAAGAAAAACAGTTTAGTTAGAAAAAAAAATCCTAATTTAAATCAGTGTTGGAAGTGAAATTTTTTAAGCGGAGGAAAGCGACTTAATAGAGAATAGAAAACGTATTTTGGAGTAGCCTATGTGGGTAAAGCATAATGTAAAAATTCTGATTTTTATTCTTATTAAAGAATAAACAATTAAACCAATTTTTTTGTAATTTATATTTATCTATTCATCCATAGTTTAATTAATTATCAAACGAATTGGCAATCCTTATATTTTATCATGCATTTTCCTGAGGTATTAATCTGTGTTAAAAGGATACTTGTACAGCTTATATTTAGCGATTTTTTGGAAATATAAAACAAAAATAAATTACATTTTGTATTTAGAAATAGGCTCCTTTTTTTCCTTTTTTGGGTTACAATAAGAAGCATTCTCACTTCTCTGTCTGTATTAAAAAGTTAGGTTTAATGAATAAAAAGGAAAATGTGGGTTTATAATTGAAATATGTTCTTATTTTTTTTGGTCTGCTTTTGTTTACATTAAAAATATATATTATGGAAAAATGGGCATGGAAACTTTTGAAACAAAAAAATATAAAGTACAGTGAAGCAAAAGTAGGTGTAATAACAGTTAACACCAAATGATATCAATAGATCATATGATAGAATAAAAAGGCATTGATTTACCATAAAGAAGTCGGGTATCTGCACTTACACTAAATTGTAAAGATGCCCTCTCTGTCTCTCATCAGTGCACTGTCACAGCATCTCAATGTAGTCTTCACTCTTTGAAGAAGACTTCAAAAAGATGATGCTGCTGCATAGATCAGATAACAAACACAAAGGCATTTACACCCATCTCTGCCCTCGCTAGAGCTGCATACAAACAGACATTATGAGGGCAATCCTCCGCTGCTCAGCCTCTGCTCGGATGCAGCTGAGGAGAGGCGTGGTGTGTGAGGAAGGACCTTGATAGATAGGTGACTCCTATTATCATCACTGCCTGTCATGAGCACACTGCTAGTAGCTGTTTGGCAAATGCAGAGGTAATTTTACACTGTTACCGGGTAGAATTTACAGATTTCAGGTATGAAATCTAATTGTGTGATATGCCAGAGGTCAGAGTTTATTTGGTAATAATGCATTTTTATTTCTTCAACTGTATCACATTTAGGACAAATTGAATTTCACAGTCATACATTTAGACTCTTACTGACATATACGGGCAGCAGTTATTCAGGACTCAAAGGGAAGGTTTCCATGCACTTTTAGGTAGCTAAAATCCCATTCCCTCTCTGGCTTTAATAGTTTTCCCCCCTGTTTGTAGCTCAGCAGGTACTTGGCATTTATTGAAACCAGACTGGACTCACTTCCAAGAGTCTCATGCCGCAAGTCAGATACCTCAGAGTCAGGTTGCACTTTCTGAATCTGTTCCCCAGCTTTTGACCATCCCTATTTGTGATAGAAGTATGTGTGTTTCTGTGCGATGATGGGGTGTGTGTTTTGGGGGGGTTCATTGAGATTATCGCCTCTTAATCTAAACCATGTGGCTGCACAGTTCCCAGTGCAACTCAACCTGCTCCACAGTCCCATGACTCCAGTTGTCAGGTCTGGCCCCAGACATTCATGTCTTCTTACTCACACCATTACAGTGCTGCAGTCTTGGTTGCTCTGTGTAGTGTCCTGCCAGGCTTTTTGGGGCTCTCCAGTCTGATAAATGGGATTGAGATTCTGAACATTCAAAATACATGCACAATTGTGTGAATCAATACAATGACTTCCGTTCCCTCTAGTTTTGCATGGCCATGTGACGCTGTTTTGAAGGCCTCTTTGTTTCTGGAGCAGTCCTCC